AGCTTTTAAATCGAGAGACGTAATATTAGTTGTCATAGCTAAGGCAAAGCTAGCTAGCTAGCTAGCTTTGTTTATCAAGGACTAGGCTCTGGTGATCAGAGACAGGTTATAGAATGTCTGCGAATGTAACGAATATTGTAGCCACGTGTTCGAACCTCAAATATAAACGAAAGCATCTTTGAGGAAATTCGTGATAACTTCCAGAAAACTTTGTTTTTTCCTCCTAAGAATTCGGTTTGAATGCGTCCCAGTTCAACGCCTATTTAGCTGATTTATCTTGTTGAAAAAGGAAATGAGGACAAAATTCCGAGTATTGATTTACTTGAGGCTGTCGGCCATGTTTCTTTCCTTTCCCGGAACTGATCTTCAACAACTAAGCGAAACAGAGGAGGTGGGGGTTACGTTTTACTACAAATGTTGCAAAGTTGTTACGTACATGAAATGGGATGGGATTGGTACCTATAAAAATTTTAAATACAGACTTTAATGAAGGTTTTAAGCAGACCAGTTGCGGGCAGTGCTGGATTTTTTTTTTTTTTTTGATAGGCCGTGAATAGGGTAAAACGATACGCGATAACTTTCATTGAATTAGCATGATCATTGTGAATGTCGACAGTGATTAATTTAGATCGCTTCATTGCCTTTCATAGGGTCGAACATTTCTCTTCAGGTTCTCCTGTCTGAGCCCGGATTGAAGCCGCACTTTCATATTTGGATTAATGGAATAAGAACAAAGCCTTTCATGTTGACTGCTTTCTCCCATTCTGTAAGCCCTTCGTCTGAAACCTTTCCTACTCAAGTTGAGCGCGAATCAGGTCCTACGTGGAATGACGTTACCTACTGCTATCATTTCAGCCTGATACTCTGCTAATGCCGACTGTCGCTTGCAGGGGTTCCAAAATTAACTACGATATTTCTGTCTTGAGTTTGGAAAGGTTGTCCTCTCCTGGACTCCCTTTACTTGGCTAAATGGGCCTCGCAAGATAATCGTCGTTTAGCTAGGTCCCGACTTCCAGCTGAAGAATTAGTTTAAAGTATTAGGGAAAATGGAGGTCGCAGTGAATCTATGGTTTGAAATGGGAAGGGCAGAGACATGCGCGTCACATTTGTCACCCCACGTCTCACCGATTTTCAGATATTCATTTCCCGGGTACCAATCTAGCTGAGCTAGAAAGAGATCCATTTCTACTGATCATTGGGCTCCCATGGTGTGCTTCAAGGTTTGCTGTCTCTATCCACCTGAGGGTGGTCCAGTGTTTTCCGAATATAGATGTTCGTTGATGTTACGCCACGGCTACATTTCCTACAACGCAAGATGAAAATGTCAAACTCTAGAAAGAAAATTTAAAACAAGCTTTTCCGGTATTGGGACGTGTGCACTAAGGTGAAGAGAATGATTTTCCTCGAAACTACTGCTTTTATCTCCGCTGTCTTATCTCGTGTTAAGACTGGCAGTTGTCGAAAAGGCCATTATATTGTATGTTATCGCGGCAGTGAGAGTTTATTTGATCGATATACACGGCCTAAAGTGAAAATATCGCTGCTTGTAGTCTGGGTCGAAATGCCTCGCTACCCTTACCTGGTTGGTGATTCGAGGGGGGGCACTCAAATGGTAGGTGATGCGAGTAGTCAATTGAACACGCCTATCGCATCGTGGTCGTACGCCCGCGGTGTGAGATATTAATATTTTTTTTTTTTTTTTTTACAATAATGTTCGTCCTACATAAGCCCCAAAAGTCACTCGAGGTAGTAGGTTACAGAATAAGAGGCACAGTTTATGCTGATACGTGGGGAAGACAACGATTGACCCTAGACTTGAACAGGTTAAGATTGTAGTGATCGGGGAAGCATCTCCTTGGGAGTCGGTTCAGCGAAGCAGCGTTTCGTGGGAAGGAGCAGCTCGAGTGGAAGTGACCAGCGGTATACGAAGGGAATGCGGCTGGTTCGCTATTATGTTCCTGGCATTGGTGGGGAGGGGGTCTTAGCCGTGAAGGTTAGAACTGGTGAAACTAAGGAATGTAGTTCGCTTGAACACTTTCCATGGAAATAGCAATAGGGCAGCAAAAAGCTTGCAATGTCTCGCCTATGAGAAAAGAGTTGAAGGGCGGAAAATAAAAATTTCTTCCGCCCACAAGTACGCGGAGACGCTTTTAGACTCCATCGAGATTGGAAAGTGAAAACTGGGCAGCTTTTTGCCCGTATATATGACAAGAGTACTCCTTTTTGGGGAAGGGGGCTGATCTAGTACTTGTTATAGTAGAGGACAGCAGAAGGATTGAGATACCTACTGGTGCGGTACAGAATAGCGACCATTTTTCCAACATTCACTTAGAATCTGGGTTGAGTCTCATTAGTGGCTCAAGGCACAGGGCCTCCCAGAGGAAACCTGCATTCAGTATCGTTGTTTTGTATTTTTTATTTTATTTTATTTTTATTTTTTTGTTTTTTACATTTAGGTTCCTGTACAAGGCCCGGGGGTCACTTGAGGTAGAGGGTTACTTTAAGTGGTAGCTTATATGGATAGAAGGGGGAAGATAACGGTTAACTCAAGACTTGAACAGGTTAAGATTGTAGCGATCGGGAAAACATCCTCTTGGCTGTCTGTTCCATAGACTACGCGAGAAGAAGCTGTTCAAGTGAGACTTACTTCTCACCAATGGAACACGGAGGGAATGTAGGTGGTTTGCTACATATAACTGGCATTAAGGGTCCTAGCCTGGCGGAACCGATGTAACTAGTTTGGTTTTTGCGGTACTGAATGTAACGAGGCCACTCGTAACACTGAGATGGTAGAATTTGGTCAGAGGGGAGGTCAGCTGCCAATTTGTGGACGTCTGGAGTTTGTTAACTGTTGAGAATTGAATGCTTTGTGGATGGTTTTTGTCATGGAAGCTACTACTGCTTAGTAATTTAGGTTTGTCACTTGATACAAAGAAACTGTATTTTTCTGTGTTTATTAGCCGTGATGCGGAATATGATCAGGACCATTCTATTGAAAAAGAAATCCACGAAGATTTCTCTTTTTTTCAACATAACCTAGTTGCATACTTTAAGCGTTAACTTAAAATAAGGGATAATATTTACAGATAATATTATATATATATATATATATATATATATATATATATATATATATATATATATATATATATATATATATATATATATATATATTATATATATATATATATATATATATATATATATATATATATATATATATATATATATAATATATATATATATATATATATATATATATATATTATATATATATATATATATATATATATATATATAATATATATAATAAATACACACACTGTTACGTTATTACTTGTAAGTAATTACGAAACTGTATATTTTGTTTCGACGTTTTAAATAAAAACGTCTCTTCAGGAAATTTACAGTGATGCTAATAAACGATCTGTTAAAATTGTAATTTATGAAACATCGCTTCATTTTCCGTTTTTTTTTTAATTTCCCATACAAGGTAAAATGGACTTTTATAAAGAAAAAGGGAAAAAAATAAATAAATCAACAAAAGGAAGAGAAAAGAAAAAGTTACTCTTGTATTGAACCCTGTTTTAAATTAATGTTTTGAACGTTGTAATTTGATTCTTCGTTATATTAGTACAGGTATCCAAGTGAATCCTAGTAATTAGTAATATAAAATATTAAAATTAATCCACAAAAAGAGCTTAAATGTATTTATTATAACAAAGCATATAAATTATATTACTGTACACAACAAATTCCAAAATTACCTCATATGGGTGGGGTGGGGGGTAGATCCATTTCAACCGACGTAAACTACGTCAATCTTATTATTCAACCCTGGTGTATATGTATTGTGGATTTAGACAGCAACCATCCATTTACTTGTTTCATAAAAGATTTAATTTTTTTTGTGTTCGAACAAGCTTTTTGTTAATAAGAAAAAGCCAACACTCAATATTAACTACGAACACGGCCACTATGAGTTGTGTTCGGAAAATAAAACATCTCTATAGCTATAGAAATATACACACAACCCATGCTCCCAGTTAAAAAGTAAAAATAAAATCAGCCTTGATAATGGCTAAAAAGTAGCCGAAAGCACTCTGAATAAAAGAACATTTGGACAGTTTTTTCACACTCTGTGTGCAGAAAAGAAAACACTTGTTCGAACACAAGAAAAATTAAATAAAAAGCTTAATCGTAGTACCTTGTCTTTCGTCTTTAATGAAACTTGTGTGTGTGTGAGAGAAAGAGTTCTTTGGCGAAACGTGGGTGAATGCGGCACGATTCGGTTCATGTGAATGGGACTAATTTTTTTAGTGTCATCTTAAATGTGAGTGGTTGGAGATTTCGCTTCCCTGAGAAAGATTACTCCGCCCAGCCTACTTCGCGTAGCGTTGGATTGTTTTTAGTTTAGTTTTATTTAGCTTAGAGGATGTCGGATCATATGTCCCCGTCTATTATTTTAGTACCCTACATTCCACACCCCACCACCCTGTTAGATGGCAGAAGGTGAAATTATCCGGTGATGCGGGAATGTTTCATTTTTTTTTTTTTTTTTTTTTTTTTTTACATTTTCCCGCGCTTTTATTTTTCCGGGCGGTTAAATTTTTTTTCTTTTTTTTTTTTTATGGGACCATAGAAAGGATCACATATTAACGCATCACACACACACACACACATATATATATATATATATATATATATATATATATAATGGCTGGATCAGTGATTGAGACTAGCTAAGTTAATGGTTAGAAAACCAGCATCCTTCTGCACTTTCAATTGTTGGTCACATTTTTAGTGTTTAATATTTACATACAAAAAGAAATCATTCGTTTTGTATTACGCTTCTCTCCCTGGCAAGAGACGAGACGTTTCAGGGGTGTCGTCTTCAGGAATTTGTCTATCCTTCGCTTGAGAAGTTCCCCATGTGGAAGTGTCAAAGAGTCTGCACGATTTTTTTCCAGCTCTGGTCCTACGTACGTGTGAGAGACGCACGTTGAAACACCGGTTCCCGTATGATCACCGAAGTTAAGCCAAGTCGAGCCTGGTCATTATGTCGATGGGTGACCGCTTTGAGATATTAGGTGCTAAGAACTTAGGTGTGCGAGTGGTGTATTGGACAATGGCTCTAAATTGTTAATCGGAAAGAAGTGTTCCAGTTCCCGTTGGGTTTGTTATATTCACTTAGGCGCAAAATCCCTTGGGAAGGGTATAAATTTACCTCTTCTCCTCCAGCTATTGGTTAATTAGTGTTTGAAATAAAATTGATCTCTGAATATGTTGCTCAATCAGTCTGGTTGAGTGGAGTTGTATAACTATGAAATCTGTGCTGGGTTCAATGGGTCAAGTAGGTCTTGCCACTGAGTCTGACAGGTGTAGCATTCCCTATCACCAGCTGACCAGAGAGCAGAAAACAGACTTCCCTCGGTATAAAAGAAGGTCTTGTATACAATATTCACAGCTGATTCGTTTCAGACAAAACGGAAATCGTACCCGTAGTCCTCGGCCGCGGTGATGAAAAGCGGCCGGATGGAATTACCATTTTCCCTTTTAAAGTTCAGAAGTCGTTGATTTGGGATGCGAAACGTGCCAATATATTTTTAACCGGTAATTTGACCAGGTCCGCAGTTGAGCCGGGGTCTGTTGCACGGGACACAGATAAAAAAAATTGTTAAATATTCTCTTGCGGACAGATTTACTTTTACTCTCTGGCAGTGGAGACTTCTAGGGTTATTAGCCCTCGTTCGATGGTGTTCCTTCGGATGGGTGACGAGATGGCGTCTCGATTAAGGGATGAGTCTCGCGAAAAAAAGTGGCTCTTGTAGCGAGTCTCACTGGCGATGGTGAAAGGTAATACTTTCTCCATCATTGCGGCTGGCAGAGGATAGCAAAAAAATAAAATTTGTTTTTGTTAATAGATAATTTGTTCATTTAATAAAATATTTTTAGAATGTTAACAAATTCATAAAACGTTACATGGGTCCCTACGAATCTGTTGATGTATACCTTACTGATTTGCAACACCTAGCAGTGCCCCACCCTGTCGTTTAGGGCTTCAGAATACGCAGACTGTGCCTCTGCAGAGGGGTAAGACTCCCCCCCCATGAGACGTCCTGGGTATAATGAGCTACATCTGGTGGTAGGGGCTCTGATCAGAAGGTTTTTAGGAACATGGAACCACCTCTTGATTGCTAGTGTCTCCAGGTCTACCTCAAAAACTCTAGATGACCAGAGCTTGACAGCTGACCTTTCCTTTGACAGCCCAGTGTGCGGTGGAAGGTCTGGCTGGTCACATTCGTGGCCTCTAAAAGCAAACTAGAGATGTTCCATCATCACCGAGCCGACCCCGACCTTTCACGATCATAAACGTTTGCCCCCCCCCCGCTCTGGGGATGCCTTGCGACTTGAGCGCCTAGCTGGACTTAAACGCAACCCAGACATCAAATGGAACGCGTACATACGATCCATCGCTAAAATAATGAAAAAATGGTCGGTTATATGTACTACTCTAGCAAGGAAAGTTGGCTCCCTGAGCCGCGCCAGGAAGTTTTTCTCTCCGGAGTCTATCCTCCAAATCTACAAATCAACAATTCGCCCTTGCATGGAGTATTGCTGCCATATATGGTCTGGTGCCTCTTCTGTTTGCCTCGGGGTTCTTGATAGGCTCCAGAGGCGGATATGCAATGTAGTTGGCCTTGCCCTGGCGTCTCGTCTACAGTCACTTTCTCACAGACGCGCTATCGCCTCCCTCTGTCTGTTCTACAAATACTTTCATGGAAATTGTCCGAGGAGCTGCATTCGCTGGTTCTCAGACGTCATGAGTTCCAGCGCCCTACGAGGTTGGCATCCCGCTCTCACCTCCTCACTGTCGAAACTCCTAAATGTAGCCGTCTCTTCTACTCTAATAGCTTCATGTCTCGCACCTCTCGCCTGTGGAACTCCCTTCCCTTCTCCCGTTTCCCTGCGAGCTATAATCTCCAGCTATTCAAGTGTAATGTCAATCGACATCTCCAGTTGCCTTGATCTATCCACTACCCTCATCCTTTCTTCTATCACTCCTATCTGATCTTGCTATTTCCTGTAACCCCTTGCATCCGAGCGGCTTCCCGCCTTGCTTGGGGTGAAACGCTTAAAAAAAAAAAAGTACCCGAATCTTCCTGCTATTATCTTTTACGAGAGTCAGATCAGGCCGAAGATGAAGTACTGCTACTATATATGGACAGTAGCTGCCTAGTCTCCAAATTCAACTCTCAATAGTCCAAAAGTGTGTGTGTGAAGAATTATTTTCCACCGTGTAGTCCCTTTCTCAGACTAAATATCCGCATCCTATTATTTTCCACCCTTCAACCACGTTCTCAGGGACGAGACATCGCATGCCTTTTGCTGCTCCCTCGCTATTTCCATGGCAAGTGTTCAGACGAACTACATTCCTTAGTTCCACCAGTTCTAATCTTCACGGCTAAGACCCACCCAGCCACGCCTATTGCAGCAAAACCACCCTCATTCCCTTCGTATTCCAGTGGCGAGATACAAGTCTCACAAAGCACCAGCTTCTCAGAAACCGTTGCTTTGTGGAACCGTCTCCCAAGAGGATGTTTCCCCGATCATTACAATCGTAACCTGTTCAAGGCGAGGGTTAACAATTATCTTCCTCACCTAGCCGCATAAACCGTGTCTCTTACTCTGTAAGCCTCTATCTGTGAACCACTGCTCTATGGAACCGTCTCTCAAGAGGATGTTCCCCCGATCAGTACAATCTTAACCTGTTCAAGTATAGTGTCAAACGTTATCTTCACACAACCTCGTAAACTGTTCCACTTACTGTGTAACCCTCTACATCGAGTGGTTTTTGGGCCTTGTACAAGGTGAACATCATTGTTAAAAAAAAGAAAAATGTAGCCTGAACAGTAATGAAAGAAGAAATGGCATTAGAGCTACCGTTGCTTATAGCTGCTCGAGTGAGGCCATCAAGTGTAAATGTGCCCCCACGGCAAGGAAGCTGCGTCACGTGTTGTATGTCTAACTGTCCAAACCACAAGACAAGCGACAACGTGCGCCTACGCGCAGATCTGAATGGTGGTCGTTTATAACATGAATGTACAGGCACTGATTCTTGCACTGAAAGGAACTAGGCCACATATCAGGGGTGTGGCAGGGAAACACAAAAAAGAGGAAAGGAAACAAAAATACAAACCAGACACCACTCATAGTCACAATTCAAGCTAATGGAAAACCGTGCACCGTACTTGTGGACTTAGGTTCATTACTGACCATTAGTATGCATAGACACGTACCAGTTATAGAATAAAGCGTCTTTGCGCATGGCAACTATTGGTAGAGAGACCAGATCAAATTGTGATATTGGTGTCGTTGATTTTGGAACTTATGGCAGTATCTCTGTTAACCCTGCGTTACTAGGTTCGGCTTTTCGAAAATGAAGTCTCCTAGCGTCTGCCTCGCACTGTAACTGAACTGCAACTTCACCACACCGTGTACTACACACCTTCACTGGTTCAGGAGAGTAGTGGAAGGGGGCAAAAGAAACAAGTTGCCGACTAGGAATTACGAGTACTTTAAAAACTTTTGGGTAAAAAAGCACCTCATGTGACAGCAAAGGAAAGCCACTGGTTTTCAACTTTTTGGTCGGTACGTACGCCATCGGAGTGTTGGGTGCTGTGAGATGTCTAGGCAGCGAAATATTCCTTTATGCGGCCAGTAGATAAGCCAGATTTCAGCGCTGGGCTGGAGCTTAGGGCATCGAGGAAACTAGCAGAAATCAGGCACTGGCAAATTTACAAAACAGTGGCGGGGTATCTAATGCCCAGGCAAATACAGAATGAATGCGAGCACGCTGTGTAGGTCTGGTAGGAAAATGATTGACAGCTACCCTACTCCGAGGGGGAGTTAGGGCTACCCAACAGCTTCAACCCGTTGATAACCGTAGCCCAAATATATTAAAAAAAAATTGTATTGGATTACAGAACCAGTTCTTCGATGTATTCACAGCAAATGAACACAAGCTAAGTGAATGGCGCCGGCGAGAATCCAATGCATGCCTATTAAACCCGAAGAATGTTTACCTACAAGTGTGTATCCACAAATTGTTGTGGCCTTTCCAAGCTGAAGTTTCGATCTCCGTATAGTTAGTTATGTGCCATGCGTGATGAACGCTTAGGCGATCATGTATCTTTCGATACATGACTGACGGGGTAGATTTTTACCGTAGTAGGTTGCCATTTCTTTCTACGGTAGACAAGTTGTCATCTAAGGCCATAGAATACCCAGTCTGGGGTGGGGGTATGATTCATACCTTTCCCAAGGGTATTAGTACGTAAGTGAATGCAATAGATTCGACTGAAATTCGAACTCAGCTCTCAGTCGGAGCCGCTATCCATTACTCCACTGTAATAGGGTATGACGATAAACTACATTCAACAGCAATACGTTTTTGAAAAAATAATGTTGCCAGCTATACATTTTTTTTTGAGAAAAAAATATTAACAGAAATGGATTTTTGACAAAACAAAAATATTACCAGGAAAATAAAGTTGTCGGCATTAAATGATCCATTGAGGTTTTGATATGCCGTAAAACAAAACAAACAATAACGTCCCAAGGTGTCAATTCAAAATACCACATTGATGTCTATATCGATGGAAGTGTAGTATCTGTGACACCAGGTGCCAAAACATGTGAGACTTACGACTTGGCCTCCATTAAAAGGCATGTTCAAGAAAAATCAAATGATATGAGGACTATAGAATACATGAATGACTCTTCAACTGTTTTATTCAATGAAGAATGTCATACTACTCTTGATAGGCCAGAGAGAGAGAGATGGAACAAATGTCGGATGGCTACTGGAGAAACGGCCCTCATATGTCAACAAGATGGAAATGTGATGTCTTGGTGCGTGATTATAGGTGATAGGTGTGAACCCATAGCAAGTTCCAAATGTTAAGATGACAATTCTGATATTATTTTTTTATTCTGATGGCATATGTGGAGTCATAGTTCAAGAAGCCAAATGTATTTTCAGAAAGGTTATTATTCTGCGTGTCAATATTGTATCACATTCAACAAAGAAA